ACTGCAGTCCAGTCAGTGAGACTCCAACTCAAAAAAAAAAAAAAAATTTAAACACTTCAGTGAACACTCATTGCCCTGAAGATAAAAGTTCAACATCTTTGACAAGATATACAAAGGCAGCCAGGCATGGTGGCTCACACCTATAATCCCAGCACTTTGGGAGGCCGAGGTGAGAGGATTGCCTGAACCCACAGGTTCAAGACCAGCCTGGGCAACTTGGCAAGACCTCATCTCTACAATAAATCAAAAAATGAGCCGGACATGGTGGTGCGTTCCTGTAATTCCAACTACTTGGAAGGTTGAGGCAGAAAGGATTGCCTGAGCCCAACAGATAGAGGCTATAGTGACCAGGAACATGCCACTGCCCTCTAGCCTGGGTGACAGAGGGAGACTCCAATTAAAAAAAAAAGTAATCCCGCGCCTTTGGGAGGCTGAGATGAGTGGATTGCCTGAGCCTGTGGGTTCGAGACCCGCCTGGGCAGCGAGACCTCATCTCTACAATAAATAAAAAAATCAGCCGGGCATGGTAGCGCATGCCTGTAATTCCAGCTACTTGGAAGGCTGAGGCAGAAGGATTGCCTGAGCCCAGCAGGTCGAGGCTGCGGTGGCCGGGAGTGGCCACTGCTCTCCAGTCTGGGCGACAGCGAGACTCCAACTCAAAAAAAAAAAAAAAAAAAAGATGTACAAAGCCCTCTCCACCTGCTCCCTAATACTAAACTCTTCCCCTTACTATCCCCTTACTGGTCTTGAAGGCCAGCCTTCCGTGTGGGTCTCCAGGCACTGCCCCCACCCCATGTGTGTGTATGAACTCCCGCAGGTCTTCAGGTTGCTGCTTAAATGCCAGCTGCCCCCAGAACCACTGTGCCTGTCCTTAGATCCCCTCTATGCACAAGTCTGACTCAGGACTGGTTAAGTGTGTTGACAGGACTGAATTCCAGGCTTCACCAAGGCTTCCGATGGGGCACATGATGTTTTCCTCCTAGTGCTGGCACCAACCCAAGCAGTAGCCTTAAAAGATATCCCTCACGCCAGCTGTGTGTGTAGCATGCTCCTCTGGGAGGCAGGAGGATGACATGGTTGAGAGCCTGAGACTTGGGGATCTGCCCAAGCAGAACTCAAATCTCGGTTCTGCTATTTTTTTTTTTTTTTTTTT